GAGGAATGAACAGAGACTAGTCTCTGGCCTCCACATGCATGTGCATATGTGAACATGCACCCATACAACACACGCACCTCACATATGTGAACATGCTCACAAACATCTACTGTTTTCAACATTGTAAGGAGATAGTTGAGAGGCATCACGTTCACACTGTGTGGCTGTCACCACCTCTACCTACGGAACTTTCCAACATGTTAAAGGGAACTGTCCCCAGTGAACACTAACAGTCCACTGGTCCCTGTCCCCGACAACAGTGGTCCTGCAGTCAGTCTTTGGGAAAACGGTAACACTTTTGTCAGGACAGCACTGGCCCTTTTGTGTCTGGCTTGATCCACTCCGCATATGTCCTTGGGATTCGTCAAAGTGTAGAATGGGCTGTAATTTCTCCCCCTTTAAGGCTGGATGCTATTCCATTGTATGGATATACCACATTTTGTTTGTCTGTTAAACTGGTGGTAGACATTTGGATTTAATGCTATCTGTTTCTGGGGAAGTGGGAGACAGAGTCTCACGCTGCAGCCTAAGCTGGCCTTGAATGCACGACAATCCTCCCTCTGAAGATTGTCAGCCTTCTGAGCATTGACAATCTTACAATTTATAGAATTTATTATTTTAAGATTTGTAATCTTAAAATTATAGCATGAGCTGCCCAACTGGCTTTAATGTGAAGAATTCTCAACGAGAGGAAACGTTTCCCCTGAATTAAAACAAAAATTACTAATTGTGTGTGTGTGTGTGTGTGTGTGTGTGTGTGTGTGTGTGTGTGAATGTATGCTGCATGTATATGCTACCCACAGAGGCCAGAAGTGGACGTTAGATCCCCCAGAGCTACAGCCACACACAGGCTATCTGATACAGGTACTGAGACCTGGACTCAGGCCCTCTGAGAGAGAAGGAAGTGTATTAACCACTGAACCATCTCTCCAGGCCTCTCCTGAAATTTTAACTTTTATCTTCACTGTCCCACACTTGTGGTGCTCTCCACTAGGGACTAGGCAAACAGAAACCACATCGCTCTGGCAAGCCAGGCTCAGGGAGGAGCCAGCGGTGGACAACAGGCAGGCACGGGAGCCAGCCTGACTCTGGTCTCTTAAGCTGTGAAGAAGCAGATGGCCACCCTTTCCTGAGTTCCCCACCACTGGACAGGCAAGCATAGGCATATGGCTGGGACTCTAAACTGTGACGGAATGGCCAGGCACTTTGGAGGCTGGTGACCTCTGGGAACCAGAATCCTGCCAGTTCTGGGGACTTGGGTGAGTTTCCACACGCAGTCTCCACCTGCCTGTCTGGAGGTCAGACCAATGACTGTGTGCGGATGCTCTAAGGACCAAAGGGAAGATGCAAATGGCTCAGCCTGTGAAGTGATTGCAGGGCAAGCGCGAAGCCTGAGTTCCGCCTCCCAGAGTGCATGTTTTTGCTTTGTTTTGTTTTTTAAGCTGGGGTTGGGGGATGCTTGCAAGGAGGCTCAGTGGTTAAGAGCAGTGGCTTTTCTTGCAGAGGACCTGGGTTTGGTTCCCAGCACCCACATGGCTGCTCATAACCATCTGTAACTCCACTTTCAGGAGATCAACTCCCCTCTTCCGGTCTCTGCAGGCACCAAGCATGCACACAGTGCACAGACATACATGCAGGCAGTGTGAAACACTCACACACATTAGAACAGGAAAGGCTGGGAGTGGTGGTGCACCCTTGTCATCCCAGAGCTGGGGAGGCAGAGACAGGCGGATCCCCGGGGCTACTAGTCAGCCACCTCACCTCCTTGGCAAGTTCGAGGCCAGTGAGACATCCTGTGTCAAATAAAATGGGCCGCAACTGAGAACAATGGCTGAGACTGCCCTTGGCTTCCACAGGTGTGTGAGGACATGCTTAGGCAGAGTCTGAGCATTTAGCCAGCATGTGACAGCTGCTATTGACCGGTAATACACACTGATAGCTGAAACCTTCAAAGTCCGTAATCAAACAAGGAACCTACTGGCTGCAGTGAAGGCACTGGCTGCTCCCTTTTGGCAACTCCCAGGGGTGGGGGTGGGGGTGGGGTGGTGGCTGGGGAGCTAGCAGTGGCCTGCCTACAGAGCTGTCTACATCCCAGGGCCCAGCAGATGCGGAGGTCACCTTTCTAAATGTACAGGCATCTGTCTTCTTTTCGTCTCAGTGCCAGAGATGGAAGCCAGGGCCTCATACACACGCCTGGCAAGCACCCGAGTGCCCATCGACATCCCCTGCCCAGGAAAGTGCCTTTGAGAAGCAACGTAAAGGCTAGGGGTGGTGGGTGGCTGTGAGCAGGACAGACAGAGCTTCTGTGGACAGACACTGGCTCGTGTCTATGGCCCTCTGTGTCACCACACATAGTTCCCTGGCCCAGGGGTCACTGGAGCCCTGCTATAACAGGACAGCACACATTGGTTCAAACTCAGGTTTCCACTCAGAGCTTCACACCCCCGCTCCCCACCCCCCACCCCGCAGCCGCCATGCAGTCTTTGGAGAGCAACTTCCCATGCCAATAAGTGAAGGGATGAAGACTGGCACCAGTTCACCTGAAGTCTTGGACATTTCAGCTCAGTGTGGGTCATCCCCTCATGCTCCTGATGGAAATGCTTCCAGAAATAAATGCTTGCCCAATAAATGAGGAAGTTTTGCGATATCGCCCTCCCACCCCCCACCCCCCACCAGAGGCTGCAAGCAGCAGCCAAGGAACACAAAGAGAAATGAAGAAAAAAGGAGCTGCCTTTGGGCTGGGGAGACGACTCATCAGGTAAGCAAGCATGAGGACCGACCGGAGTTCCAATTCCTGGCGCCTGTGTAAAGAGCTGGGCATGGACACTTGCAATCCAGTGCTAAAAGGGTCAGGGGTGAAAGCCACTAGTGCTTACTAGTTGCCACCCTAGATCCAGGTTCAGTGGGAAACCCTGTCCAAAGGAGTAAGGTGGAGAGTGAGAGAGGAAGACACGGATGTCCTGCTCTGGGCTTTGCAAACGTATGTGCACCTGCACACACATACACATGTGCCAGACATACATACACCTCTTCACCGACATATATTCACACACACTTAGATCCACATACCCACCCCCCCCAAAAAAAAAGAGAGAAAGAAAAAGAAAAAGCCGTCTTCAGCTGGCATATTGAATCTGATCATTCCACACAATGTTTTCATTGTGTTTTTTTTTTAAGAAAAAAAAAAGAAATCTAAATTAAATCATGTCCTTCCAGCAGAAAGGAGACACATGCACACGCATGCGCGCATACACACAGGCACACACACACCCCATATGCCATTTCAAAGAAATGTCTCTCTTTTCAAGTTTCTGAGGAAGGAGCTCAAAGCGGGGAGTGTTCAGTGGCCACACCCTGTCCCCCGGAAAAATGCACATTTTGCACATTTGTTTTTGATCTTGCACAGAAAGACCCTGAGGGGGTGGAGCGGAGGCGACTGTCTCTAAAAGTCCAGACTTTTTGTATACGAACTCCAA